GACAGGCCTGGGGCTAAAGAGCTGTTGCCCCCGTCTCGAATGGTGTGACTGTTGTGTGTTTTAAATTATGCATTGTTATGTTTCGTTTTTTTAAATTTTTTGTCTGCATCCCCCTTCCCTGGTTTGAGTTGTGAGCCGCCCTGAGTCCCCTTTCGGGGGAAAAGGGCGGCATATAAATATAATAAACAAACATATAAATATAATAAACAATATTCTATCTTTTGTATCTCTCCCCCACCCATCCCTTTCTTGATAGAACGATCACCACACAGGCCTATCCTCCAAGCTGGTTTACCAGCCAATACCTCTGCAGTTGTTGGGAGCGATGCTGAGTTTGTCTGCAAAGTTTATAGTGATGCCCAGCCTCATATCCAATGGATAAAACACGTAGAAAAGAATGGAAGCAAATATGGACCAGATGGACTACCACATTTGGAAGTTTTAAAGGTAAGTTTACTATTATTATCATTATTGTACATTTTTGAGACAATAAGTGATTATTTTACAAACGTTATTGTGAAATAGAACTAAGGGATCAAATTCATTTGAATAAACTAGAACTTTTTCATTTTTCCTGTGCGAAAATGAGCTGGCACTCACGGGAGTTATTGTCCGATGTCATCAGGTCTATTAGAATAGAATACTGTCTATTGTTGGCAGAAACAAAAGCAAACATTTGTTTGGCAATTTGTTCTCTACACAACACTCTTTTTCAACCTCAGCAACTTTAAGACGTATGGACAGACACATTGGCTAGGGAATTTTGGAAGTTGAAAGTCCACACAACTTAAAGTTGTCGAGGTTGAGAAACAACTGCTCTAGAAATCCTTTTATTTACTAGCAAAATGATTCATTTTTCAGATTTCATGATTTATTAAGAGAATTGTCATATACTTTTCTTAATATTACTTACGATGGATTATTATTTTTTGCAAAGAATATACAAATAAATAAAGAAAACTATACTCTGCTTTTAATATTCAAGCCTAGGGGAACACTAAGTGGCCTTCTGAAATGGTTATATTTGATGCCAAAGAATGTTGGCTGTGCTGGTTTTACTGAATGTCAGTGATGCTGAAGTGTCAATTTTTCACCACCTTGTTATGAAACTTCTACTGGGCAATGAACTTTCAAGTTGGCAGCCACTGATTTCCTTACAAAATATTGTTCTGCTATGAAATAATAAGAGCCCGGAATCTAAGGAGTTGGCACCACTCAACAGTTGGTCTACTCAGGAGTTTTTCCATTCTATTCTTGTTTTTTTAAAAAATAAAATAAAATAAAATAACTATATTATTTATCTACTCATATGCTGTTTGAAGACATCTTCAGTATTTTGGTGGCGGGACCATGGTGGTGTCTACATTTGGGGTAGCAGTTACATTGTTATCCTGTGTTATTGGTCTATTCTAGCATTCGGGGATAAATAGTTCCAATGCTGAAGTGCTGAAACTGTACAATGTGACAGAGGAGGATGCTGGAGAATATATTTGTAAGGTCTCCAATTATATAGGGGAGGCCAACCAGTCTGCCTGGCTTGTGGTTCAGCCAGATAAAGGTAAAAAAATGTCTGTTCAAGAAAGGTGGATGTAGAAGCTGGAAAAAGTGGTGCTTTGGGACTCTTCAGGCAACTTCTAGGATAACTCTATGACCTTGGTGCATTTATAATCCTGTCTTGAAGATGCAACTGGTTTCCCTCCAGTAGCCATGGAAAAATTCCCACAAACAGTATACATGTCTTTTTAATTAGCTGCTTCTGTATTTTTCTTTCAAGCATTCAAATATATTTGTCTATATATCTTTCTCAGTATACTCTGAACGACTTTAACCTCTGACTTTCCCTTGGTTTCATTCTTCACTTTATATCTAACACACCCCAATATTTACAGAGACCATATGTCCTTTATTTTAAAGGGACAGAGCTTTGTTTCAGGAAGCAGCCCTTCAGATTTCTTTCATTATTTATTTTCTTGGTTTTGCTCTTGGAATTTTTCTTTGTAAAGCAACATTATAAACACAAACCTATTTTATCCTCATGAATCTCTTACATATTTCCCATTTTTTCAGGTTTGTCCTTTCTCTTTTCTAAGAATATGTGGTGACCAGTGGTGGGTTTGTTGGAACCTACTCTGTGGGTGTTGCCTCCTTTGTGGGAGTGGCTTGCCACCCATGTGACCAGATGGGAGTGGCTTGCCGCCCATGTGACCAGATATGAAATTATGAATTAGTATTTAGGTCGGTCCAAGTAGCTATTCAGAAACTCTGGCATTGAAGCATGCAAGTCTTAAAGCTGTCAAATTACAAGATCCTTGCCAGTGGTGGGTTTCAAAATTTTTTGCAACCTCTTCTGTAGGTGTGGCCTGCTTTCCGGGTCCACTGGTGGAACCTCTTCTAACCGGTTCAGTAGATTTGACGAACTGGTTCTACCGAATAGGTGCGAACTGGTAGGAACCCATCTCTGGTGGTGACTATAGCTATACCATTAGTCACAACTAGTATTTGGGATAAACTTAAGAAAAATAATCATGTGGGTAGCATATTCTCCATGGTATCAGACCAAATCTGAATTCCTATAGATTCAGTTCAGAATAAACTATTTTCCTGGAAATCTAGTGCTGATTATATTCTTTATTATCACATTATTTAAATACTTGAGCTGCACAAAGCTATATATTATCGTGTGGCTCTTGTTAATAAAGTGACAGTCTTGGTAGCTATGTAAAAGCATTCTGCTCTGATGGTCAATGAACATGAATCCTCTATTGTTAATTCCATTGTTTGTGTGCACAATAGAACAGTAAAGCTACCATGTAGATTGTTTTAGAACATTGTTTAATTTGAGATTCTTTATTTTGCCCTTTGAACAATCCTATTGTTTACCTTGAAATGTGGAACAATAGAGTAGATTTAGTATGAAAAATGGCCTTGTATCTCACTGTACTTTGTGTCCATACCAATAAGATCATTTTAGGGAGCACTGATCTGTACATGTTTACTATAATAGTGTCAAGTTTTTCTGACCTGCTCCCGACAGAAACAGAAACCCTGAAAAATAGTGGATGTAGTGTAGGCACACCAAACAATCTTAGATTGACTTCTCATCTCTATTTGACACACAGTTGTTCTGTTTTCTGTTATCTACTACCATAACATTTAATGATTTTGTCCTGAGAGGTCTTTTTAAAAATAAGTCTTTAACCTCTATCAAAATTATAATGAACATACTTCCTTTTTTATCTCTTAGTTTTCAACTTCCATCTATGTCTCTGATATTCCTCTTTAATTTGAAGGAGAATCTTTTTTTAAAAAAAAGATTTTTCTTTTGTGGATTTTACGTTTCGGTGTCATTTTTAAAAACTCAAAAACAGTTTGTGGTCGGATTTTTCCATGTTTGTTTGACTGCATGCCTATTTAGGTGGTGAGTATAGGTTTGGTGAAGGGTATTCATGATTTATTCCACTCTTAAGGTGCGCTGGGATCTGTTGGTAAATTGCCTTTTGGTTGAGGATTTGTGGATGGGATCTCCCCCACGGCGGTGAAATTTTGCTTCTCCGGAAGTGCCAAGTTCCCGTGGTCCCATTTCCCATCCACAACAATTTCCTAAAATGTCTAGCTTTTCTCTTGCCTTCATTTTTCTCCTAGGCTGCCGGTGTTAACACCACGGACAAAGAAATTGAGGTTCTCTATATACGGAATGTAACTTTTGAGGATGCTGGGGAATATACATGCTTGGCGGGTAATTCTATTGGGATATCCTTTCATTCTGCATGGTTGACCGTCCTGCCAGGTATATACTGCTATCTTCCATGGTTTTCTTCCTTTTCCTGCTTCATTGTTGATTGCTACTAAATAACATGGCTTCTGTCTCAATAAGGGCTTTTCAAAGACTGTCCAAAATTATAGACTGGGATGGTTTTGGAATTCATTTGAATAATTCGAACCGTTTTACCCAAGTTCCCATTTTAAAAAAAGGAAGAATACTTTAAAAAAATCATCAACTTTTCCAGTTTATGTTTCTCTGGGAAGGTTAGACTTTAAAAGCAAATCAGAGGGGGAATTTGAGGGAGCGCTTTTGAAAAGCTATTAATGCCAACAAATTGGGATATATACCCATGAGAACTTGCTGAGGGAATACAGAAGCGGTGTTTCTATAACTTTACAATCAATTTGGTGTACTCTTTAATTGCTGCATGCTCCAGGCAAACGGGCTACTCCTGGTAGTCCTCAACTTAAGCCCAAAATTTATGTTGTTAAGTGAATTTGTTCCATTTTATGACTTTTCTTAAGTTAAGTGAATAATTGCAGTTGTTAAATTAGAAACATGGTTGTTAAGTAAATCTGGGTTCTCCACTGACTTTTTCAGAAGGTCATAAAATGACTCCTTAACACTGCAACCATCATAAATATGAGTCAGTTGTCAAACATCTGAATATAAATGACATGACCATTGGGATACTGCAGTGGTCATAAGTATGAAAAAAGCCTCTCTTTTCAGTGCCATTGAATGGCCACTAAATGAACTGTTGTAAGTTGAGGACTAACTATAATTTGCTTGTTTGCAAAATGTGTCTTGTCTTGCTTGCGATGGTGCTGCTTCTGTTTTGAGCAGAAGTGCGCCGTAATTTGCTTTTCTAGCTGAAAATGTCAATTAGAAAATAGTGGACATCTAGATGAATAAAAACTGCTTGCTTTGTAACCCTTTAACCTGTTTCCGTACGCTGTTATTGTTAGAGAAATGTACATTAAGTTGTTGAAAGTTGCAGTTAATAATTTGCCTCTCTGTGTGTTTGTGTCTTTCTGTTTAAAGTTTTATATAAAGATTCCTGCATGTATGTATTGCTAAAGCATATAGTTTATACTTGTGCTGTACATGGCTGTAGATTTTTCTCAAGGTTTCCAAGGTTAATGTAAGAAAACCCACATTACTATATTTTTAACTTATTACCTTTTGAAGCTCCAAGCTGCATCCATCAATAAACAGGTGGTTATGATTTAAATGGCTGTTGCTTCTGTTTACTAATTTACTTCCCTATTTACAATTGCTAAAGCACAACTTAATCAATTTATGTGAAGGAGTATTAACATCACATGATATGGAAGATTAGCTTTTATACTGACCAATTATACTTGTTGAATTACTACTGTTTTAATACTGAAATAAAACGATTAGGTACACATAACATAAACTGATATTCCTAATAGTGCTTTTTTCACAGAAGCAAATAAAAAGTGAGGGGAAAAAAAAGATATCCAAAAAGTTATAAACCTAAAAGTCACTGCAGGCTAGGATACTGTTTGTCATAATTATTTTAATCTTGCATAATTTATTTTAAATCACATGGATGTCAGCAAATCATTACACTACCCAAAACAATTGGATATAAAATTGGTCATCCCCTAGAAGTGTAGCTATGATCGCTGGGAATATTTAAAGTTTGCTATTCAACACATCTCAAATGTACCTGTTTGGAAAATGTTGATCTGCAAAATAAACATTGGTAGATAGTAACTATAAACTAGAATTGTAATTGTCCAATGCCACTAATGAACACAATATGAGCACAATATCCCCTTGATAAGCTTACTTATATACCGTACTTGCCTACCTAGATATGTGAGTGTATTTATGGTTAATATAATTTGTATCTAGGCATAATTCAAAGATTGAATTATAGAAGGAAGTGCTGAAATCATTTTTTGAAATTGTCCATAATTACAAATATAAAAGCTTTAAACTTCCTGCATTTGTTACTAATTAGGGCAACTAATTAGGCTACCATTTTCATGGTATAGTCTTATCATTATTCAGGTAGGACAGTAGATAGTTCTTGTAATAATTATAGAAAATAGAAGCCTTGGGGGAAAAAGTTACGTTTTTTTAAAAAAGTAATTATTAAAAATAATTTGTTTCCTGTTGGCCTTAAAAAGACCTATATTAGATTTCATGAGTTGCTCTGCCAAAATGTTTGGATATAAGAGTTTTAGGTGCTCTTAACATCCTCTGAAAGGTGGCTCAGTGGCTAAGATACTGAACGTGTCGATCAGAAAGGTCAGCAGTTCGGTGGTTCGAATCCCTAGCACTGCGTAACAGAGTGCGCTCCCGTTACTTGTCCCAGCTTCTGCCAACCTAGCAATTCGAAAGCATGTAAAATTGCAAGTAAAAGAATAGGGACAACTTTTGGTGGAAAGGTAACAGCATTATGTGCGCCTTCAGTGTTTAATCATGCCGGCCACATGACCAAGGAGACATCTTTGGACAGTGCTGGCTCTTCGGCTTTGAAACAGAGATGAGCATCGCCCCCTAGAGTTGGGAACCACTAGCACATAAGTGCGAGGGGAACCTTACCTTTGCCTTAACATCCTCTTAAATGTCATTAAAGTGAATAACATTGCTCTAAGACATTGGATGGCAATGCTTTAATAGCTATAGTTTTCGAAGGATCTAAAATGTACATCTCGGTTCCTTCTGACGTTAAATGCCCTGATCCTATGCTTATCTCTTAGAAATATATATCACCTTGTTCACTGGACTTACTCCCATATGAGATAGATAGGAAGATAAAATTGATGAATGTCTGGTATTTAACAAAATTTGGCAGTATTCATGAATGAGAAAACCTAATTGAAAATACTTGATGTATTTAGTTCCTGCCAACTTCAGTAGAAGTACAGAAGTCCAAGGTAGCTGATGACTAATCTTTGTTATGCTTTGTTCTCTCATAAGCCTTGCTTTTCCACTAGCTTTCAGTTCTTGTTTGGCTTTCCTTGTATGTTCAGGTGGCCCACAGAGTTAACTACAACGTTCCTTAAAATTATTTTACTAAACCTGTCATTTGCTGCAGGCCAAGTACTGGGAGTTTGGGATAAATGTTGATTCATCTGGAATGAATTATGTGCCTGTTTTCCTATCTAAAGAACCTTGGCTTTAAAAAAAAGAAAAATAGAGTAAGAAGAAAAAGGTGATCACTCGCATAATTCCAATAATATGTAGTCTTACTTTCAAAGATAAATAGGCTGGCTAATAACCCCGGCAGTGATCATATTCACAAGTTACCTTGAAAGAGTCATTTAATAAAGAAAAAGTAGATTCAGTCACATTCTAAAATATTAGATGTGCTAAGCACTAAAACATTAAAATATCCTCTCCTTTAACTATGAAAATATTAGGCATTTGGTGTCTTATAAACTTGGTTCAGCAGTACAGGCAGTTCTCGACTTACGACCACAGTTGAGCCCAAAATTTATGTTGTTAAGCGAGATGTTTGTTAAGTGAGTTTTGCCACATTTTATGACTTTTCTTACCTCAGTTGCTAAGTGAATCACTTTGGTTGTTAAGCTAGTAACAAATGAATCTGGCTTCCCCGTTGATTTTGCTTCTCAGACGGTCGCAAAAGGAGATCATGTGACCTTGGGACGCCCGCAACGGTCATAAATATGAACCAGTTACCAAGCATCTGAATGTTGATCACGTGATTGTGGGGATGCTTCATAGGTCGTAGCTTTGAAAAATGGTTATAAGTCACTCTTTCCAATGCTGTCGTAACTTTGGTCACTGAATGAACCGTTGTAAGTTGAGGACTACCTGTACTTGCGGTCCACCTATGTACTTGTTCTTTTCTCTTCAGCGTGATGTTTTTCTGCCTCCTAATTTGTTGTCCCACCTGTTCCCCCTTCACACCTGCACTGTAGCTTCAGTCACAAACAAACCTTATCCAACATATCCGGACTACGTGGAGATTTCCATCTACTGCTCGGGAGTCTTCATCATTATTTGTATGGTGGTGGCCGTTTTCGTGTGCCGCATGAGATCTACAACCAAGAAATCAGACTTCAGCAGTCAACCTGCGGTACACAAACTGACAAAGCGCATTCCTTTGCGCAGACAGGTAACAGAAAGTAGATAAAGAGTTACAAAAACTTATTTCCCTTCCCTTAAGCCAGCAGATCCTTTGGGGGGGGCAAAAGGATTCCGATTCAGGCAGTGTCTAATGGGTGAAAAAAACAGTAGTTCTATAAATTCAAAGCTGTTGGGGAACCCGCAGCAAAGTCTGATCCCAAATATTTAAATGATGTTTAAATCACAAAAAAATGTAGTCCTGGTTTAGGACAATAGTTCTCTGCATAAGTTTTGAGTGTGTTCATCCAGGAACACGTAAAGGAAAGTTGTTATATTTAAAACTCTGATCCAAGGAATTCACAATGAGGAAGTGAATAATTTACAGAAACCCATTTTGAGTCCACAAATTCAATTAGAGAACTGATTTTCAAAGTGTTGCAAGTTATTTAATGTCAGGACAGAAATGAGTGATGTTGAGAAAGAGAGATTAAGTTTCTAGGGGAAAAAAGAAATATTTACTGAGCTACAGCAAATAGAAAAGATTTAGTGCAGGAGGAGGGGAAAATCAGTATAAGTCTACATTTGGGGGGTGGGGTGAGGAGAGATGCAAATTCCATAGGAACAGAAGTCTTCATCTGAACAGCAATAATTTGCTTTACTATAGCATCTCAACACAGGAATGTGTCCACATAGTGTGGAATGTGGTTTCTGATCTCTGAAAATGTTTTTTTTGTTCCTGATATCTGATTTACACTATAGAGAGGTAAAGAGATTTGCATGTATGAAATTGTGACTTTCTTTCTTTCTTTCTTTCTTTCTTTCTTTCTTTCTTTCTTTCTTTCTTTCTTTCTCCCTCTCTCTCTGTCTCTCTCTCTCTTTCTCTCTCTCTCTCTCTCTCTCTCTCTC